CAACTGGTTAACGCTGTTTAAGGAAATAATCGCTGTTTAGTGAGAATCATACGAAACACATAAATACACTTCGTGGATAACACGCAGAGGTAGGTGGTTCTTATAGTTTGCTTTAAAGGCTTAAGATGGATCTGCTTAATTACAATATAAATACTTGGATATTTACCATGCTGACCAAAGCGTGTAGGCACTCAGTATGTGACTTAATTTTAGTTGTGTTAAGTAATTAAATAATTCTCCGATAGTAAAATACGAAGGTTGAATACCGCTAATACCGAAGACTGATCTGCTGTTACATACGATCTTGACCCAGTTCTATCCACCTCACAGCCCGTCTACCTAAGAGCCATCTTCATGTAATCCTTAACCTCCTTCTTAGTCTTTGATCAAATTATCCCGCTAAATTTTGTTCCAGTGTACGGGAAGATTAAATCTTCCCCATGTTCACCAGAGCTCGCCACTCGACTCTGTCCTGAGTAAATTGTACCCAGTCCACATAAAACATATATCTAAAATCGATTTTAATATTATCCTCTTATGTAAGCCTAAATTTACTAAGGGTATTTTCCGTTCTGGTTATCCGAATTTGTTTTGAGTAATAAAAGCTTGGTCGCTAAACTGTCTCAGTGTATCAGTACTTAATTTATTTCATTTAAACTCGCTGAAAAATATTCGCATTGAAAACGAAGATCCCCTAATGATACAACCCTGTTAATTACTGGCATAACTCTCCCTTAACATATGTACTTCATATACGTTCTCGCCAACTGTGTCGTGGTAGTGTGAGGCAGAACTGGTAATTCTCACAGAAGGGGAAGTCGGTGGTTTATGATGTTAGTGGGGGTCGTGGGGGGGGCAAATCAGCTGACAATCGGTAAAGAGCGTTTTTATCAACACTAAAGCACTTATGTACGTCATACGCATTTTTGTAGATATATCTACTGACCTTTTTTCCTGAAAGTTACGTACATTCCTTTTGTTTGTTTCTTTGTGTATTCGTCTTTCTTTCTTTCTTTCTTTCTTTCTTTAATCCTTGCTCGAAAGGACTCCGTTGTCTGGAGTCAGTTTACTGAATGGCTTCTCGTAACAAAATCACGAACATAACGTTTCTCTCCTGGAGTGTTACTTCTCGTATAAAGAGAGTTTATATCAGACTGATTGTTCGTGTTCAATGAAACAGAACATTATATTACGTAGGTTTCCGTTTCGTGTTGAGGAAGTTTGATTTTTATGGATTCAAATAAATGTTCACTGCTTTAACGCCGTGCTTCGTCGGCAACTTCTCCGTCATGTGTGTTATGCGTTTAGTCTAAACAAAACTGACCAGGCGATATCTGTTACAAAATAATTTTACTCGTCTCTCTGCACTGTATATTTGATTAATTGTTGAGATATTCTAAACTCTGCAATCATAATTGTTATATAAGAGGTTGTGAAAATGGTTGATTGATTACTCCGCAAATTAGTAATTGTTCACTGCCTTAGGGAAATTTAATATGACTTCCATGACTTTTTGGGAGTTACGTCTTACAGTTGGTTGGTTGATATTCTTTCTTCTCCCTGAACTGTCAGTTGCATCGATTGGGATCGAACCCGAAACCTTTTAAATATCCCAGTATTATAGAGTGTACGAGTAATATTAAAAGGTTCTCGTTTCGATGTCAGTTTAAAAACAATTGATGACTTGATTACGAGATCACAGCCAATTCTAGAAACGTAATATGCATTAAGTATACTTAATATAATGCCGCGTGATATAGCAGCCCTACCCACAGGATTCTGTTATGATTTTATTGTGCAATTTGGATAATGTTATATTGTTTGTGGCAGTGTTGTGTAGTCATAGACGTAATATGATTCTAAAAATGTTCTGCCATTGAAGTGTGTTAGCTTTATCCTTGAATAAGTCTGATATTGTATGTGGGGCATAAACTTTTGAATTGTGATTACATTAAGGGGTTCTTCTTTAAACTCCGTTACCTAAATGTTTTTAAACGACTTGTTTAATCCAAAGTGAGTGAAATGGCAGAGAGGTACACAGTTAACTCATTTTAATTATTTCACTGAACAAGTGTAAAATTAAAAGTGGGTTTCAAAATACAGTTTAACAGCTGAAGTGACGTAATGGTACATTACAGTATTCTCTCAGATCTCTGATAACTTTTAATTAACAGAAGAGTATTGAAGCTTATTAACTAACATCACCAATTAGAAACTTCTCAACGATGTGTGTAATTAACAGGAACCAACAGTTCACCCTTGGTGACACTAAAACGCCTTGTTTCGACAAGGCACGTTTGGGGATAATTTATGCGTGTAACTAAATGAACTTTTGTCTTTGAGTAATGATTACTCTGACATGAAGTGTCTCCTGCGATGTTGCATCGTGTAGCCTGGTAGAAATTTACAGATGTTTCAGGGGTACTGACTTCCTCAGTCATTAACATCCTGATGATAGCAAGTACTTCTGAAACGTCGGCCAATTTCTACTAGTTTAGCATCCGAGAAGACACTGATATTCATACTTGCCGCCTTGAGAACCTGATATCTCACATACTGTGGCATGCGTAAAGTAATTGCTTTATTCAAAGAGTGTGGCAATTGAATCAGCTGTTTTGTAATTAAATTTTTGTGGTGAAAAGTTTCGACAAGACGTGAGGGACAATTTTGTTTTAAAAGTTGATACCTGTCGTGAGATAATGTAATTCATAACGAACGTAGTGTTGATTGTATACTATGGGTAAGTAATACAGCAAATTGGCGGGTAATTTGGTACACTGGATGCGTGTTAGCTGCATGTTCATTCACAGTCTTTTGTGACGTGATTTACTGTGTATTCGAGGTTAATTATGACACGAAATGGTCAAACCTGTAGGCGAGCGTGTGTGTGTGTGTGTGTGTGGAGATGGGAGATATGTGACACGTCACTTCATATTATTTATTGTTATCAGGGGTTGACATTCTTACATTTCTAATATGTAAATTTTAGTTTATTAACGATACTCATGCAAGTACACAGCACTACATATGGATCTCAACATTACAAAACAAAACACTTCATCAATCTTAGCTCCGTTGTTGATCAAACCCCATCCGCGTTCTTTCCTTACAATTTTGTACACATTTTTCGTCGAATGGGTACGGGGGTCCTATCCCGGAGGTTAAGCGCGGCCGGGGCGTGACGCTGACCACTCACCCCCATCTAGTGCCGAGGTCAAGAATGAGTAGGAGCTATATCTCCTCTCCTCCCAAGCGCCTACATGGCGTATAACGGGGCAGCTTTACTTTTGTACGCAAATTTCGTCTGCCTCATGCGTGTTACATGCTCAAACCATCTTGATCTCAGAATCCAAATAATATCTGATGGAGATTACAAATTAAGCAGTTATTCACGACATAAAGATGGCTGTCATCTGGGTTGTAGCACCGTGTAGTCTGGTAGAAGTTTATCGACGTTTCAGGGGTCCTTACTGCCTCCATTATTAGGGCCATGAGTCAGACGTTTACCGACGTTTCAGAGATCCTTGCTGCCTCCATCATCAGCGAGATGAGTCTGAAGTTTACCGATGTTTCAGAGGTCCTTTCTGTCTCTTTCATCAGAGCGATGAGTCGTGATATTTTTTTTTCCATTCATGTGTTACTTCTACTGTATTTGGTACAAATATTTTCCTCGGCAACGAGTTTTTTTATTTCTTTCTACTCCCTCTTTCGATTGAAAGACCAAATAAAAAAAGATAATACACGTTGTTTGGCACAACTTATTTTAAAACTTTATGTTTATAGGTAGGATAAACCAGGAAAGTGGAAGTCGTTTTGATGACAACAGAATGGGGGGGGGGGGGGGGGAAAAAAATAAATGCCAACATAAACACGAATTTATGACTCGTACAGAGTTTATAATCACAAGCTTATTCACTTCGCAAAAGACGGTAATCGAGTTTGGAGCCCGACTGCCTGGAACTGTCCATTCATCGATTTTCGATGACTGGTTTTGCACAGCCAAGACCCCGCAGTTGGCGGGGCATGACTTGTGAGTCGCATGGCGACGACTTTTCCTGTTGTGTCTACCACGGAATGAAACGTCTGGGTCGCAAGACAAAGAAACAATGAACTCACCGCTTCGAAACCCAATCTTGCTTATGGTTACCGCGGTGTTCGCTCCATTTATACAATTTCTCATACTGTCGCTACAGCGGAGAAATGTCGACTTAGCAACGAATAAAACGAGCGAAGAGCATGTCACACTGTCCTCCCTCCCTCCCTCCCTCCCTCCATCCACCTGTAAGACCCCAAGATAAATTACGCCGATACAAAACAATAATCTTGCCTGTTGTTTTGTATGGGTGCGAAACATGGTCTCTCACTCAGAGGGAGGAACACAGATTGCAGGTGTTTGAGAACAGGGTGTTGAGGAGGATATTTGGGCCTAAGAGGGAAGACGATGGGGCGTGGAGAAAACTGCACAATGACGAGCTTAAAAATCTGTACTCCTCTCCCAGTATTATCAGGGTGATTAAGTCGAGAAGATTGAGATGGGCCGGGCATGTAGCGCGCATGGATGGGACAAGAGGTGTGCACCGGGTACTGGTTGGGAAACCTGAAGGGAAGAGACCGCTGGGGAGACCTAGACGTAGATGGGAGGATAATCTCAGGCGGGATCTATGGGAGATAGGAGTTGAAGGAAACTGGATTTTGTTGGCCCAGGACAGGGTCCGGTGGAGGGCTTTGGTTAATTCGGTGATGAACCTTCGGGTTCGGTAAGCCACCTAATTAGTTAGTTAGTTAATACGAGAAGCGTGTTAATTTCAAATCCTTCAGATTGGAGATAATTTTCTGGAGAAGCGTGAAAGTGGAGCTTGATATGTTATGGGTTTCGGCGCCGTGTAGACTCGTCAGCATCTACAGTTGAGTCTACGCGGCGCCGAGACCCAGAAGAATAATTTCGTCATCCTCACCGCCATGAAAGCCTCAGATCTCACAGAGCAGAGCCTTTTTCTTACCTCCTCCGTTGTTGTAGCAGAGATACGGGAATCTCCACACGTTGCCAAGGCCAACGCTGTATCCCAGTAGCGATAGCAGGAAGTCAAACCTTCCGGTCCAGTTGCCTCTCTCAGGGGGCTCCTGTTCTGTAAGACCGGAGCCGTGTGACGTCCCATCGTCTCCCGGATTCAGTGGCACTTGGGAGTTGGCCACAGAACACTTGTCGTCATTCTGAAACACAAATATTTGCCGTCAGATGAGAACGGAAACAGCAAACGCATTCATGTTGATTTAAAGACGACTGAATAACTGAGGAGAGCTTTTCTTGAGGAACTACCCGGTGCTTGCCAGATGAATACATCCTTTGTTGTTACAAGATCTATTTAATATTATCTTTTCCGTCAGCATCTTGATCTTTAAAATGTGATTCGCTTTAAGGTTTTTCTTCCAAATTTATGTACGCTATTGTCAGTGTTCTGTTTCGTACTGTATTCCACGCCAATTTAATTCTGCTTAATTTGATTGCGCTAATTGATAATGGATAAGTGTACGAACTTTGTTTCTCATCATTATGTTGTTAGTAGTGCAGAAAGCACTTTGGAATTTAGCGGAGAATAATTCCTTTACTTTTTCGTGGATTCACGTCTCCCCCTTCCACAGATTATTGTCTTCTTGCGGACGGACAACGATGAAAAATCTTCCGTGGTCCGTGATTTTAGTGTTTGGTCCGAGGTTCTTTTTAGACCTTTGCGCGCAAGCAAACATCGTAGTGGTTTACGCGGAACACAGATTTTTGTTTCTAAGTTACTTTAAGAAAAGCGATCAATCATTTTTTTTTTTAAAAAATGAGGCATTTGTAAGAAGTTGCATTTCATTCTGCGCTACATAAAAACTATCGAAATGTTTCAAATGTAGTAGAAGAGACGGGCAGACAAACACACAAACATCAATATAATTCTAAAGGGTTCTGACGACGATAATTTACACTTAAAATTATTCATTGTCAGGACTTTTTCCATCCTCTTTTCTTTAAAAACCCACGATGTTTCGGTGGCTGGTTCTGTCTCCGTCATCAGTACGCTTTAACGCAACTATACGATAAACCTCCCTTATTTTAATATTTCTAAAAAGGCTAAAAGACGCTGAAAATGACATCATTTGTAAGGATTCGGCTGTATAGCTTGTATCATGTCCATTGAAATCTAATTTTGTCAGTCCGTCTTCCTTCTGCGATAGAGTCGAGGTTTTCTCGCCGATGAAGATGATAATCTTCCTGAACGGAGTGACCTCCCCTGCGCTTACAGTCGCTTCTGGGCGTTTTATCTCAAGTAATGCAAGGTAGGTTACAGTGACCATTGAAATGCACAGTACAAAAGAATGTGTGATCATAGTACCACAAACTGACTTCTCAATATTCATGTTTCATATCGTAAATTGTTTGTTGACGGAACAATTACAGATAAGGAGGAAGGATGTTGGAAGTTTAAACTGGAAAATAATTGGACACTGTGGAGTGTCTGTTTTCAAATAGACCATCGTAACTGCGAAGTTGTTAACACAATGTGCACGGACGTAGCTTTATTCTCGTCTCCATGTGATCGGCTGGCATTAGAGTGACAGACTTGTAATTATTTTATTTTATTTTATTTTGATATTATTGGAAAAACCACGAAATATCTCAGTCAGGATAATTGTGTCCGAAACGAGATTAGTACCCGGGGCCTCCCGAATACGAAGCACGAATATTAATACCACTTTCAGTCATTTGCGTGGTGTCTATCGGTTACAGTAAAAATTATATTCGATTACTGTTATTAACCATATACAACCCAGTATATGATCCACCTACTTTATTAATAGTTAACTCTGCGTTTTGTATTTTGTATTGGGGTTATGTATGATCCTCTTAATAAATAGGGATCATTTCCTAAAACGGCGTTAATCAGTTGATCTTTGTAATGGTGAAGTTTTGTGTTTTCTTCGCGGTACGGACTGAATTCTTAAATATTATTTAGACGGGTTTTGAGCTATGGGCCGTACAAATTCCTCTTTTGTCTGCCGGGCCGCTGGCTAGTAGTCAGTGCGCATCCGGAAGGTCCTGCGACCGGCCATCTCGACACAGGTTTTCCTCTGTCTTCAAGCAAATGCTGAGATGGTTCCCAAGTTCCAAGTTGCCACTGCAAGCTTCTCATGCAGCCCTCCCGATTTAAATTAATCAAGCGGGCATTGCCTGGGGACCTTCTAGCTATAAGATGCTCTTTCTACCCCCCAGATATCGAAGTGTCTCTCACTTCTCCCCCACCAATTTCCTCTTTCTCTCTCTCTCTCTTTGAGCTATGAAGGGTTAAACGTACTTGAACGATTGATATGAGAAAGATTGAATGTTTTCAAGTGAGTCATTTTAGACGTAAATTATAGTCGCCTGTAGTTTGAGTTACGTCATGAATTCGTGGCTTGCACTGCACACTCGACCCATCACTCATTTGCCCTGAGTACTGATCGATGTAGCAAATATACATAACACACGGCCTGGAGCAGTGATTCATGTTCACGTCAAACTACAGCCGATGAGAGAAATCAAAAGCGAAGTTGCGCCCTCTCAGTTTAAACGAAGAACTTAGATTGACGCCTTTTATGGAACCCGCAGTGGCTCCTGTCCTGAACCAGATTATTTGTTCCCTCTCGTTCCATTTTAATATATCTTATCCCATCTATGCCTAGATCTTCCAAGTGTGCTTTCCCCTTCAAATTTCGGACAAAAATGTACCTGTATATTGTTTCCCCCCATGCGTGCTACATGTCTCATCCTTCTTGATTTGATGAAGAGTAATTATTACGAATCTTATTATTATGTAATGTCCTGCCCTTTAGGTCCAGAGCTTCTTCTCGGAACTCAAACACGCTCGGTCTGTGTTCTTCCTGTCCTCCAGGAGAAGTGATAAGATTTGGTACTGCAGGTCGCATGTAAATTGCGTTATATCACGAAGTCCTTCGCTCAGGAAATTAGAGGACTCTGTTAATTCCTTTGGACGTGAATCCCGAGTGGAACTGACGTGATTTGAATTCAGCTGAGAGACGGAGAGCGATTTCTCCTCGTCTTCCTTCTAAACCAATGTCGATATAAATCATCGTAGGCCTATAGGTCAAGGCCGCTAGGTTCCAAATATCTTCATTTTTTTCAGGTTTGAACTGGCGTTTAACCCTTTGAAGCCGGAAACTCATGTTAATAATATTTTAAGAATTCAGTCCGTACCGCGAAGAAAACACCTCGCTTCACCATTCCTCATCCCACACACCCCTCCCGTTTCCCCCAGAGTTCCGTCATCATGTTATCGTTAGATATTCTTAGCGTAAGATTTAAAACAGAAAATTTCCCATAAAACAGGGTTTTTTGTTATACACAACACTCGTGCACGTTCATTCCGTGAAATTGAAAAACCGCGCAAAAGAGATCAGAGGGACGAATAATAAATTGTTGTTTCATGATTATATTTTTCTGTAATCGCCACGCCTCGTAATATCGAGCGATGCTGACATTCGCCATATCGATTTGTGTCTCATTAAATGTTGACGAGAGCGTATTTATATCCACCGGTACAATTTTTAGATTCAGTGAATGTACTTTATTGTTTATGTAAGGATAATTAAATTCTCTCCGCATCTTCGTTTTGCGAACGTGAAGGAACTTTACGCAAATTCTACGACACATAAACTTACAAGTAGTTCTTTAATATTAATTATTTATATTTTATTTAACGATGCTTTTTCAGTAAGCCAAATTATATGGCGTCGAATGAGAGGAAGATTTTAATGAATCGGAAAGGATGTGGAAGGAAGCGGTCGTGGGCTGATTTAAGATACTGTCCCGAAATTTTCCTGGATGAACTGATGAAAACCACGAAATTCCTATGTCGGGATAGCCGGTCTCCCGAGACAATATCTCTACCAGGACGTTCAGTCGTAATTGTTTAAATAAAGTTGTTTAACAATAAATCGGTTCTGCTACACACTATTCAAATGTTAATCGAATGATTTGTTGATTACGTAATATTGTATTTGAAATACACGTCGATGTAGGCTTATTTGATATTTTAATATAATTCATTTAATAAGAAAGGCAGATAATAGCTTAAAATTTAACTTATGTAATCACGAGACCCCGGTCTTTAAATCGATTTGGGGATCCGGGAACATCGTATGACAAAGTGACTTGCCATTTTTATGTCTGATCTGTGACAACAGATCGTAAAACAAACAAGAGACATTGGCAAAGATGATTGTCTTTAGGTTGTAGCGCCGTGTAGTCTGGTAGATGTTTACTAAGGTTTCGACTGTACTTTCTGCCTCCATCATCAGGGCTACAACTCATAAGACAGACATCTTCGTACTCACTGCCTTGAGAATGTCAGATCCTACTACGAAACAGACTGTAAATACTAATACTTTGCTAGAAAAGTCTTCTTACGTTTCTAAATAGGATCTTTCCATCGAGTATTTTGGGTTTAGGAACAACATGCAGTTGAATGACAATTATTTGTTGTTTTTTTTACACTTTGCCCGGATTTTCTTGTGTGGACGCGTACGAATGTTTTGGCCAGCGAGCCGTAAGGATGCAATGTGAATACTTACGTCCCATAAGTCGAGGTAGGGCCTCATCCGAGTCGTTTCCATCACAATCTGTTCGTCTTCGTCCATAACCCTGTCGATATCAGCCGCCTTGTTTTCCATCGTCATCTCCGCCGATTACGTAAAAATTATAACTCGCTTTACTCACAGCCGTATCACACCGCGGTGGTATAAATTGGTATACAGTATACTGAAACGCGTTTTTAAATGTCACAGGAAATTATCACAAGATTCTGTGTTATCTGTTAAAAATCCACTTTGCAGTTTTTATTGACAATTTATCACTTAAAGTTCCATTCACAAAACTAACACCACAAACCAATCACAGGACACTGGAAATTCAGGCTTTTAAAAAATCGCGATTTAATTCGAAATTAAAACGCTTGTTATTAGGTAAATTTAATAGCTACTCTGCACACTGGATTTATACAAAAAACTAGAAGTTTAATCTCACATTGAACATGACTAGAAAATAACAATTATTCTCCTATGCTTGGAAGAACGAGTTCAGAAGGGTTCGGCTATAAACGAGATGGTTTAAAGGATTATGGCCCGGATACTAATAACATTATTTACAATTGGAAAAATATATAATTAAGTAACTTGGACTCATATCACTTATTTTAAGCTCTTTCTTGCTTATACGTATATATATATCTCTTTCTTACGAAATATAGATGTTTGTATAACTCCACCTTCGAAGATTTTTAAACGAAGATATGTGATATTTCTATTTTAAGGCGACAAACAACACATTTGCGAAATTACAGCTAAGGGAAATCACAGCTAATTGTTATGTTTATGTTTATATTACGTTCTTGAAGCACACTTTTTGTCTTGTTTGTTTCTTGGAATAACAACGAGCTTTGTGTTTTTGTTTCGGAATCGTAAGAAATATAAATCAATACGAGACAACCATGAAACTATTTCCAGTACCATCACAGTTAAACGGAGTTATATGATTACCTTGGTAACCAGACGATAACACAGAACATTTTGAAATATGAACCACAGCACCATAAAAGCTATTTGAAACAATTAATATATATATATTTTTTTAAACGAGGTTATTACATATATATCATAACAGTATCATAAATTTGAGCTTTATATTTTGTATATCAGTTGGACATTTTATTTTAATTTTTCTGACAGAAGAATAGATGTTAGCGTGTTGTTTTCTCACTGCACAAAGTTTTACGTCACCGGGCTGATTTGTTGTGTTAATTACAAGTGATGGTCGCGGGGTAAGGTATCAACTGTGTCCGATGGTGGTTATTCTTCTGTACCGACAGCAGCTGGGAGGTCTGCGCGCGCTTCATCTCAGTTTCAGAACATCCCCCCCCCCAACCCCCATCCCGTTCTCTGTTCCAACCCCGACATTTGTTACCTTGCCGTTTTGAGATCAATAATGCCTACGTTGGAAGTGTACGTCTGTCTGACCGCCTCTGTCGTTCAAGGAGGCGAGTGAGTTGGACGCCAGACGCCGATGGCTTCCCCGAAACGCTGGTATGGGTGGATTTGTGAGCGGAAGACACAGGCATTTACAACCCACATTTGGAAGTTGCGTTACTCTGAAAATGTTGATACCGACATACAAATCCCCACGACGTTGAATCAAACGAATCCCGATTTAATATTTAAGAATTCAGTCCGTACCGCGAAGAAAACACCACACTTCACCGTTACACAAATCAATCGCTCAACGCTGTTTGAGGAAATAACCGCTGTTTAGTGAGAATCATACGAAACCCATTAATACACTTGAATTTAAAAAAATGCAGAATTATTTATTGTTAAAGCATGTGGTACACATAGTTACCACTGGGATTTAACGTGTTAATTTAGAAGTTTTATATCTGTTAAGATAGGCTCATATAAAGGAAGGTTTGCTTCGTATATTCTCTTGTTTTAAGACTTATTACCTCACAGATTTCATGTTTTTCGATGTATTTCCTTGAAACACTCTCAGCTTTGTTCTCATACACTTAGACAAAAAGAACAAAAATTTTCAATCGCAAACACACGGAATTTATGGTTAGCTACTTGTGATATATCAGGGCGACTATTACGTATACATACGAAATTTAATGTGGGTTATGTGTAGGACTGAAGCATAATAGTTGAAAACACTTTAGTTATGGGATGACGTCATAAATAGGATTTAAGGATCTCACTGCGATGAGTTCGAAGATGGCTGTCGCCCTGATGAAGGAGGCAGCGAGGACCTCTGAAATGTTGGTAAACTTCTACCAGACTACACGGCGCTACAACCCAGAAGACAGCCATCAACTTGTGCCATAAATGTTTGGGACCAAGAATATATGTAGCAGGTGAAGGAAAGAAACTTAACTTTAAGAAGATGAAATCCTTTTAATGTTACGTCATATTTCGCTACGGTGGCGCCGCTTGTGGCACGTGTACGAGTTCAAGGGTGTTTTTTTTATTTCCTATGGGTTATTTTTCACAATTTTATGTGAGAATCGCTTAAAACCAGTTCTGGTGGAGTGGAGCGAAAAACAAAGAAAATTTAATTAAATTAAAAGTATAATGTTCAAGCAACTTCTAGAAGAATATTTTAATAAATACGTGTATTGTTTTAGTAAGTAAAATCGACTCTGTATAGTCTGAACTAGTGAAACAGTTTCGTCAAATGAACTGTGAATGAATAATTAAGTAAAATCCAATGTGGTGTTATACCAAAAATTGGACATGGGTCAGAGTCCTCGAGAAGCTAAAAGTGCGCTCAGTTAATCAAGAAATTCCCTGCCTTTTATGGAACCCGATGGTTTGTTACCGTGTTCACAAGACCCTGTCACCAGGTCATATCCTAAGCCAGACGAATCCAGTCTCGGGTTCGATTCCCGGCGGTGCCCGAATTTATAACTTGTGTTGGGCAAGGCCGTGGTCTAGGCAACACGGAGTTTTCCTCCGTGGCATCCCAACAATTACTCCATTCACACACAGAAGAAGGCAATGGCAAACCACTTCTGGATCATCTGCCAAGAACGTATATGAACAGGTCCCAGTCCGAGAAAAGGATGGAAGGATCCTGTTCATATGGACCTGTCGTCAGACAGAACACTAAATAATAATAATAATAATAAATAAGTAACTTGGACCTCTAAATTATTTTCCTGCCAAAATTTTGTGGGCGTTATTTGTGTCTCTTACGCCTTTGGTTTTATTGTGAATTGGATTCAGCAGGCTCGGTTTGCGGGCTCTCGTGAATGGTAACGAACCATCGAGTTCCATAAAAGGCGGGGAATTTCTTGACGAAAAGATTCTGTCAGCTTTATCGAGGACTCTGGTACATGTAATATGAAAAATATTTTCCGGTTTCGCACGTGAAGAGATTTGGTTTCTGTATAGTATAAGCGAACGTCAATGTTGGGGTAAGGAATTCAAAATTTTTGGTTTTCCTATTAGATTATGTCGGCCGTCGTGCATCATTAGATAAATTACCCGCTTTCCTGAACGTCTGGTACAGCGTTATAATCGCGTTTTACTCTTTTGTGCAGTTCGCTGATTGGGGAATAATTCTGCTGACGCTAGAGTGTTCTATGCTCTTGGTTGACTTTTGACATTTGGCGTGGCAGCTGTTCTGACCTGCCTACTGTCTGTCCTCTGCCCTGACACCGCTTAACTAACCTTCATGCTTGTTGCTCTGGATGCTGGATGGGGTCTCGTGGATACTGTATGACGCAATACACCTACCGATTATCTCGCTCCACGGCTTATGCCGGGTGAAACATTATAACCCTGCTTTTAAGACTTTAATTTGCTAGAGCTTTTGGGACATTGTAAATTAGTTACACAGCTGTATTCAGCCGATTAGCAGTTTGAAGCTCGCGTAAATAACATTTAAGAATTCAGTCCGTACCGCGAAGTAAACACCACACTTCACCATTACGAAGATCAACTGGTTAACGCTGTTTAAGGAAATAATCGCTGTTTATAATGAGACACGCACTGCGTACATAATATTTAAGAATTCAGTCCGTACCGCGAAGAAAACACAACACTTCACCATTAC